AGCTCAGGAGAGAATGGCAGCGCGACGTTAACTGCGACGTCCAGTCCGACGCTTCACCGGAGCTTCCACCAACGGGCCGAGCTCTCGCGAAGCTCGCTCTGTTTGTCCGGACCGAGAGCCGCGGATGCGGCCGCCAATCGCGTGGCTTTCGCGCGGAAGGCTTGGATATTACGTAAGAGCAGAGCTGGCCGAGACGAGCGCGCCGTAGATAGGCGCTCGGGAAGACTATTTTAACAAGCGGACCGAGAGCCAATTGATAGGTCCGCTTTGGGAAAGGGAAAGCCAGATAATGGACTGCGGGATAGAGGCCGGGAGAAGCATCGATACGGCGAACAAAGTGAGCCATCAGTGCGGGCCGAGAGAGCGCGCTTTAACTTTTGATGCTCTCTGCCAAAGTGCTCCGCCGCCTCGATCTTCTCCCTCCTCCGCTGCGCCGTCTTGCGGCGGAGAATGCCGCTCGCCCTCTCCGCGTATTCTCCGCGTATTCTCCGCGTATTCTCCGCGTATTCTCCGCGTATTCTCCGCGTCTGTGCGCGGCCAGATAGAACTCGCGAAGAGCGGAGCGTCGCCATTGCCTGCCGTTCCGCTGGCTCTGACGACGCGCGGGCGGGCAGCCGCGATGCAGCGATCGACGTGGGACCCCGGACCGGCCCACGTCCCTCGGGCTGCCTCGACCGAGCGCGAGACGGAGCGCGGCGCTCCGCTCGAGTGCAGCAGGCCTTGCCGCTCGTAAATCTCGCGACCGTTACGTGCGTCGAGAGAGGAACGAGAGCGCGGGAGCCCTCGTTACGCTCGGCGCGCTCTGCCTCCGCGCGCTCCGCGGCCGCGCGCGCTTTCGGGCCGCGCCGCGAGCTTTCGCACTCGAAATCGCGGAGTCCGAGGAAGTCGGCCGGAGGCGCAGCGGCAGCGCGCCGCTTGCTCGCGCGAGCGGAACGGCCCGGAGGCGGCGCGCGCGATCGAGCGCACCGCCAGTTTGGCGAATCGATGAGCCTCGTCGCTCGAGACGCGTGCCCCCGTCGGCCGGCGAGCCGGTCTGCCCTCGATACGCTCTCCGACCTCGTTGTGCAGGCTGCTTGCGCGCGCGTCCAGTTTCCGTCGGACTTGTCGATTCCGGCCGAGCGCCGTGCCCGCGCTCGCTCGCCTCGCCTCGCCTCGCCTCGCCTCGCCTCGCCTCGCAGCGATCTCGCGATCGGCACTTTCGCGCGCTCCGTTAGCGTCGACTGGTTGGCCTCGATGCGTCTCGCGTCGACGATCGATCAGCGCGTTTCGATCAGCTTGCGATCGCGCGCGAAGCCGACGGGAGATCCAGGGAGGCAAGGACAGAGGGGCCCCAACGGCCGTGCGCGAAGCGCATCCAGCGGACTCGGCCCGATCCCCGGCTCGTTCGTTTTCCATCCTTCCCACCGGGGACTCCGCGCTGGGCTTCTCGATCGTTGGTCGGCCGTTTCCTGGCTCGCCAATGTCCAACGAACGCGACGTTGGCATTGCGCTGGGCCAGTCTGATCGCGCAGTTGTAAACCGAGGCTATGTAGGTCAGCGCCGGCGGAATAATTGCGCGTCGCGTCATCTCGTCGTCCGTGAAGGTTAGGAGCGAGAAGCATTGTTCGCAATGTCGATCAATTGCGATTTCGCGTTCTCGTCTCGCCGCCGCAGTCCGGGTGCGGCGGTCTGGCAGAAGAGCGTCGTCTTGTCTCTCTCGCGTACCGACGATTCGATTGCCGATGAACATCGCCGCCACCTCGGCGATGGCTCGGTTTCGCGTTTCGCGGTGCCGGTCGAACGATCGGTCTCTCGGTCAATCGCAGCGCGAACTGCAGAGCGGCAGCGACGGACGCGCGAGCCGCTCTTATCTCGAGGGAGAGGAAGCTCGCGAGTGGCGCGACAGGCGCCGAAGGGCAAGGACGGAAAGGTTGGGCAGGCGAGTCGCGGAATCGCGGCAGAGACGGGCGAAACTGGTGCCGCGCGCGCGCCCGTGACTGGTGCGACATCGAAGGAGTACGGCGTGGACGTGCGCACAGCCGCGGCCTCGGCGCGGAATAGCAATGAGTCGCCGCGCGAATATGGCGCCGACGCGTGACCGTTGATCATCCGACGCTCGTTGCGCGCGAAAAGCGACCCGCGGCCACGCGCGTCACACCAGACGGACGCCGGCCGATGAATCGGCCGAGGCGCGAGCAAAAACGATCGCGACGGACGGGCAGCCCGATCGCCTTGGCCTTTGCGCGAGCGAACGGGAGCAGCGAGCGGATGGCCGATCGCAGCGCGGCGGTCGTCGGGGAGAAACGCGAGCGAAGGCCGAGCGGCGACGCCGCGATTCGATTGCGAATGCACGCGCGCCGCGTCTGCTCGGCGAGACGACTGATCCGCGAGGATCGCACCTGCAGAGCTGCGAGCGAGCAGATCGATCGACGGCCGTGCGCGTCGGCATGGCGCAGACGTGCCAGGCAGCAGCTCGGCACGTATGCGCGCGTGCATCCTGTTTAACGGCTCCGAGCTCGCTTCTGCCGAGGGCCATCGATTTATCTCCGCCGACCAGCTGCACGTCCCATCGGCGCGTGCCCACCGGCGCAGCGACGGAACGCGAGCGGCGCGTCTCCGCCAAGCGCGACGACACGTTTGCGCGCTCCATTGCCCGGCTCGGCTTTGTTGCTTCCAGCCGTTCACAGCCGCTCACAGCCGAAGGCGGAGAAAAACCCGTCGCGGCTACGATCTCGCAAATAAACTCGGCAATGCTGCTTATTCGAAAGCCATGAAAAACTTATTTTTATTCCGCGTACAGGGCTGGAGACGCGAGCCGCTGCCGCGGCGTGTCGTCGTAAAAACGCCGTATTATCCATGGCAAACTGCTCGCTCGCGTTTCGACAAGGCCGTAAAGCTTTCAATTTTCTCACGGGCTTTTACGCGGTTCGGCTGCTGCGGGCAGCCTTCGGTTTACGATCGGCCCGCGCCGAGGCACGTCGTTGCGTCGAACGCCGCGTCGGCGTGCCTCGACGACTGGCGAATTTCCGAGCCAAGCCTGGACGGGAGTGGCGCGCGATCGCAGTCGAGAAGCGGTCGACGGATCCGGTCGGTCTTCGATGCGTTCGAGCGCCATTGCTGTCCATCGTCGGCGCGGCTGCACTTGGCGTTGCCGACGGCGACTGTCGAGGCGCGCTTTCGAGCAGCCCGCTGCCATAAAACAGTCCGCGCCTATTGCGAGAGCCGAACACGTAATGCGGCCGTATTGCGGGCGGTCGGTTGGAAAGAGATATAAAACCTTTTGAAATGACGGATATGGGATGGCTGCGAGCGCGCGACCGAGAAAGCGGCTCGAGAAGCAATGCGGCGGCTATCGGGCTCTCTGGTCCATTTCGTTGTTAGTCCATAAGCCGAGGCGAATTTCGTCGTCGACGGGGCTCGCGGTCCGAGTGCGGCCACCTGCATTTTGCGAATTGCGAGCTGTCGACGTTGGTTCCTTTCTCGACGTCTTTTCTCGGGCTCGAAACACCTCGGAACGGAACTCGAAGCGATATCGCCATTTCGGTTGAACGCTTCCGTCGCGCGCCCGCCTCGTTCGCTCGTTCGCTCGTTCGCTCGTTCGCGTTCCTCTGTGCGCAATAACAAATTTTCCAAACGTGCAATTTGTTGATAACCGATTGTCCATCGAATAACGCGCGTTCGGCACCCATTAACTTCTAGACTGCGTAGCCCGGGGCGAACGCTCTGCCGAACATTAGCTCGAAAAGACTGAGCTGCGGTTGTCGGGCGTCGTGCTTTCGAACGGATTGCCCGGAGGAATCGGTCCGAGCGAGGCGGCCGATAACGAGCCGGCTCGGACATCGCGGACTGGCAGCGTCAGCAGCGGCCGATCTCGACGGGGAAGAGGGCAAAGATTGAACGGACGGGAGAAAAGCCGACGGGGGAGGTGGGCGGCCGCGGCGGCGGGAGAGGTGCGTCGAAGTCGGGCGCGCATGGCAGCTCGCAGCCACCCCCAGCCACCGCCGCCTCTCGCACTTGCGCTGCTCTCTCGGCCGCGAGTGCAGCTCAGTCCTCGCTGTCGAGCTACGAGCTCGCGACCTCGCTCGCGGCTCTTCTCCTCTCGCCTCTCGGTTTCGTCTGCTCTCTTTGACGCGATGTCGCTGTGATTGTCGAGTGCGCGATCGGCCGATCCTCTCTCCCAGCCCCCGCGCTCTCTCTCTCTCTCTCTCTCTCTCTCTCTCTCTCTCTCTCTCACTCTCACTCTCTTTGCCTCGTCCGCTTGCGTCCAAGCTCCAGTTGCTTTCGGGCCAAGTTCTCTCGCGCCTCCGCGGTTCAGTTGATCACACCTAGCGACGACTAGAGTGCCAGTCGAGCAGCTCGGCTCCCATAACCAATGTCTTTGCTGCTCCATCGAGCAGATAAACGCTGCCGAGCTGCCGCTTACGTAATGACGGAGCTCGCTCTTGACCACGAGGGGCAAATCGCACGAAAATAATCGGCCAAGCACGCGAGTTGCGCCAGCTGCCAGGCCATCGAGTCAGGCGGCTTACGCAGAGGCGTCCACGAGCATCCGAGTCGGGTGGCTGTGCGACTCGCTGCTCCGGCAAATCGATCGCCGCTTTTGCCCGCCTCCGCACACCCACGAGCTTCCTCGCCAGCGCGGCTCGCGAGAAAATCAGCCGTCTGCCAGACGAGTCGTCGAGATCAGGTTACGCAGCCTGCCTTCGCGCCAGTCGTCGCCGCGAGCGAAAGTCGACGTGGAACGCGGCCTCGTCCCGCGGGAGCAGCGGCAGAGCTCGTCCACGCGGAGGACAGGAGTGCAATCAGCGGACGCTTGGCTCGCGGCCGACGGGCTCCGCGACGATGGGGAGCCGGCCGCGCTGAACGGATGAGCCGACGCGCGAGCGACGGGCTCTGGCCTATCTTCCCCAGCGCAGGCACGGAACTCGAGCGGCCTCTTTTATCGCCGGACCTCGTCTAGGCCGAGAGACAGAGAGAGAGAGAGAGAGAGAGAGAGAGAGAGAGAGAGAGAGAGAGAGAGAGAGCGAGGGCGAGAGAGAGTGAGAGCGAGGGCGAGAGAGAGGAGAGCACGCCGACGAGACTGAACGAGCAGGGCGCAATGAGCGGGGAGCCGCGGCGGCGCGGGTGGCGATGAGCGGCGGGCGCGGGGCTCGCCGGTGAGCGGCCATGGCCCGGCCGGGCCGGCCATGTTCTCCGAGCTGTGCAGGGAGACCCTGCGCAAGGCCGCGGTCTGCCGCGGGCGCTCGGCGGCGCCCGCCCGGGAGGCCGGCGCCAGGCGGCGCCCCGCCAGGCCCACCAGCCTGGGCGCGCGCAGGGCTGGCAGCGGCCTGGAGTCGCGCGACGGCCGACGCGCGCCCTACGCCGCCGACTGCGCGCTCTGCTGCTGCGAGGCCGCCTGCGAGGCCCGCAGCTGCCGCGGGGCCCGGCCGCGCCGGCCCAGGTCCGCCTCGCCCGAGCTGCTGCCGCCGCGCGTGCGGCGCCTCCACCGCTGCCGCGCGCGCTCCTCCAGCTCGTCGTCCGGGCCCTCCGACGACGAGTCCTCCGCCTCGAGCGACGAAGGTGAGCCGAGGGCAGCACCGTCTCGGGGGTCGGCTCGGGACGGGGACGGCCTTTGAAGGGGACGAAGAGGGGATCCGAGAGTCGGCCTCGGGGCAACGGGGGAGAGGCGGGCCAGTGCCGCGCCGTGCTGCGCCCTGGCGATCGGTTCGAATGCAGCCTCGTCCCTGTCGACGCCGCGAGTCGCGCTGCCGCCAGGGAACGAGCTCGACCTCTCTCGTCCTATTGTCGCGGCTCTGCGAGCGGAGCGCCGGCTCTGGCGCCGCGCGGGACGTTTCCCTTTGTTGCGCTTTCCGCGCGAATCAAATCTGACTCCTCTGGCGCGTCGCAACTCAGCGAACTAACCTTGCTTTCGTTTCTGTCTGTTTCAGGTAAGCGTCTTCGTACATTGGCTAGCCGAGCCCGCCTCAGCGTAAGTTAAGAGCGCCGTTGTCATCGTGGAAAGGCCCGACTCGGGTAACATATTTGCAAGCGTCGTCCGCGTTCATTGACAAATTGAATTAGGCGTGACTCAACGTAGTGTCCATAGTGCGTTGACCTGCGGCGTGGCATTCGATTAAAATGCGGATCACGCGGCCTCTGGCTTTCCGGGCTTCGGCGCTCATTTACATGTCGCTCGAACGCAACGCACATCGTCCGGCAGCATCATTATTACATTCGTTGCGCAATGATTTTCAATACACCTCGATCGAGGCCCTCCATTTTGATGTTCTGCCTGTCGTTCGAAAATCGATACGTATTTATCCAGCAAATATTTTTAGCTCTGAACCGGCCGATCAAATTTATTTGCGCACGAAAATCCAATGGCCCGTAAAAGTGCGATGCTCGTATCAACTGCGCAACTAATTTAACCGAGTTTCGCCATTTCGTATATAAACTGTTAATCATCCACGCGCGAACGGACGTTTGTTGTTAATCGATACGAGTTCACATCTAATTTTCGTAGACTCGAGGGTATTCTCTATCAACATCGAAACTCTTCGATCTTAATCAAACTAATTAATTATTTAATAGGAATAATATAATCGAATAAAACGCATGAAATTCAAATAGATACGGAAAATTGAACGCGCATAAGCATATTCGAATGCTGCTCTGCTTCGACTTGTTTCTTAAGCTATTAATGGTTTGCGAAACAAACATTTAATTAAAAGCGATGACAGTTCAGAAAAGCGGCCTGAAACAGCACGATTAGTCGGCTCGAAGCAAGGCGTTCATCTTATCGACGTCGAGAAATTCGTACTCGACCATCATAGTCTGCGTTTCAAAATCTTTGTTGGCGTGATACTTGATTTCGACGACCATATCTTGTTTTGATGACAAACTGTTGGCAAAGTGACCTACTTTTTCTCGAGGGCTCACGTAATATCTGCAACAACACATCAACAATTACCCACCTTTGCCCGGGACTCGTCTCGCTCGTGCGTAAGCTACTTTCTTGTGCGCGGGCACTCAGATTTCCACGGGCGCAAACGTCCGCGCGAAGCTCCAATCCAGCAGTGTCCACGTGTGCTGTCAGTTCGCGCGCGCGCACCTTGCGATAGTTGGACGGCCAACCCGATCGCCGATCGGTCGTCATTTTAAACGAGAGTGCGCGCAGGCAAGGATTATCCGGGTTATTGTGTTTCGCCGAGCGCCGCGTTCGATCAGCTCGCGAGGACCGGTTCATCGCGTAATGAGGCGGAAACGAGCTGATAATCAGCAGATTACACAACTTGTATGAAAACGAACTTTGTCGAAGAACGAGGAGACGACAGACCGAAAATGAGACGAACTTACGTGGTCAACAAGTTGGTTGGATTGGGCTCGGTATCGTCGTAGAGGGAAATCGTGGAGACTCGAATGTCGTCGCTGAGAGGTGGCTTCGTCTCGTCCTGGAGGACGAAGGATATGGAAATGACGTTGACGACGTGATCGGCCGGGGCTCGGAGGTACCAGGTGCAATTAGTCAGGCTGGCCGCCGCGGAGTGCAGCCCGAACGTTTGCTCGAGCACGCCGTACGACTCCGACACGCGTTCGCCGCACCCTACAAGCCAACGGCTCGGCTTACGCTCCTGAATATTCAAACTGGTCAGGGCTAAGCGTTCGACTTACGGACGGCGATGCGTCGCTTCTCGTTCGCGCGAAGAGGGCCGAAGATCTCGCTGCAAACAAGAACAACTTTTGAGCATTCCGTAGGCTTTCGAAAAGCTCGCAACGCTCGAAAACCTCTTGAGACTGGGCGCGGTGAATCGTAGCCAGTAGCCTTCGTCGGGCCGGGACTGTACCGCGACTAGCAGGCAAACCAGAGGGGCCAGCAGCAGCAGCGGCAGCAGCTTCATGTTCGATTGCCGAGTCCGATCGGTGCGGCGCGCTGGCGAGACGAGCACGAGGAGCTGGCTGACCGGCGACTGATCCGATGCGATTCACTTCTGTCTTGGTGGGGAGAAGCCGCGCATATGACTTTCGGTTGTTATTCGTCGTTTTTTCTCCGAAAGAAGCGCGCCGAGCAAACGGCGCACACTCCGGAGCTCGACTTTGATTCGAGGTGCGTGCGATTGCGTCATCGGCAGTAGGCGTACAACGAGAGATGCGTTCTTTGCCACTCGGCGTCTCTCCTTCACCGATCAAAATCATCACGGTATCGAACGATCTTGATGAAATCCATCTATTGCGCAGCCTGTGGATCATCGTCGCTTTTCTCGTCGCGTTTCATGGATATTTGTTGTTGAATCGCTCGTCGTCGCATCACAGGTGATTTCCACCTTCGACTCCTACTTACTCGATGTCCTGGATCGGTAAGCAGCGAATCTGCAGCAAGCCGTCGTCGGCGAACAACGACATCGTCTCGCCGAAGGCGTCCACTCGTCGCTCGGGCAGATTGTTCCGGGCGAGAGGGACCGAGATTGCCGAAGTAATTGGTCGAACCGCGCTACTCCGCACTCCATTATTAATGTGAACATTTTTGTACTATCCGCTATGCGTTTACGCGTATGCAAATACGAGCAGATGGCTGCGACAGATCAATGTTTCATCAAATACTTTCAATTGAAAAATTGCCAGTAATTTTACGAATGCTGTACCTCTGTACACTTTCTTTGAAATACCAGTCATAACAAACAAATGGCACGGCACCGCATATCAACGACAGAAAACTCGAAGTCTTAAGATTCGTACTAACCAATGAATCTACAGTTAACGATACTTCTTTTGCGGGGCCAAAGTGCCAACTGCTTTTCGATAGCCAACCATCTCGTCATTTTTACTTCTTCAAATCCGATTCAAAATAGGTAATTTATAAATAAGTTAGAAGAAAAACGCCATTAGGTATACGTCTGTACACAAGCATAGAAGATGAAGCTTTCGCCAATCAAACGTGCGCATTCCACTTTTAAAAGCTCCAATGCTTTTTGGCTGTTATGTTTTTTATGAGTTAATAAATTATTCGATATGCATTGAAACGCAACATTCAATCTCAAGAGATATTCTATTACACAAGGCCAACAACAAATAAGAATACCAAAATACAAATCAGTAGATTTTCAACTCATATTTGAGAATTTATACTTTATATGAAAATTACGCATGCGTAATATTCGAAGTTACGTAAGATGGAACGTTGCGAATTGCGTGGCGACTGTAAAATCTAAGTAGAACAAGTTTATGTAATATCTTTCATCGATAAGTAAATGGAAGAAAACAAAGTAAAAAAAGAATTGTCGTTACGAATTTCAGTGTTTACATTGTTCAAAATTAAAGTTGAAGCAAAGTACTCGAGCTGAAGTCCACGACATTCTCTACAAGAATATATCAAAATCTAATTATTCTCGAGAGATCCGCGTAGAGTCTCACAGATGATATATAACCGAAACAATTACAGATTGCCGATAAGAACGCTTCATTATGTAGATTCGTGAAGTCGGGAAAAAAATAAGTGACGATTTATCCGGTGACAAAGTGTCGATGGAAAGGCTCTATTCCAACGGATAAATACTCTTTGAATCGCATTGACCAAATTGTCGCGGCGCCCGACTTCCACGACCTACAAGTTCGCGTCGATCTCCGCCGCCGCCGCGTGGCGCATCATCGTCAAATTAGTATTTTACTTTCTTTCAGTTCACCGAAGTTGTTACGCTCCAACACATCTGCCTCGATTAGATTCAAGTACTTACGCGGTCGCGCGTTTATTCGCCTCGACGAGAAACAGTGGCTAACGATCTCGTCGACGTTTGTACACAAGCGCGCAAAGGAATGCTCGCGCTGATTGAGAATTGAAAAGTGCCTTTCATTTTTCAAACTGCCTGCCACGGTCAGGGTTTCGCGTTCCACGGATACGACGAACAATCGGAAAGCGGATTTCAACGTGGTAATGACGTTCGACTCTCAGATGACGACGACGACGGCGGTAGTGGTGAGTCGTAAAAAAAAACTGTAGCTTTGAAAGGCGTTGGAAATAACAAAGAGCGCGCGCAGTCATTAGAAATTCATCGTGCAAACTTAATGTTTTTCCGTGCGTAAAGCTGTCCTAGAAAAATACATTTAGCATAGAAATCTGATTTTCTTTTACGTTTCGCTGCAGCGTCTATCAATTCTGGATGAACGAGTTCCACGTCAACCAAACATCTAGTATGCGTACAAAGGTTTGGATGTACTTTTAACGTTTGTTTGGTAAATGATTGCAAGCTTGTGACTTGAATGAATTTTGTAAGAATTTGTCGAGTACTCCGAAAGCTTTGGTTGACGCGGAGCTCGTTACTCCAAAATTAATGTAGTCTGACAAGAGTAATCTCGCTGCGAAAAAGCGCGACCTGCTTTTAAAATTATGCCATTCGCATGGATTTTTTGGCTATCGGAAGCCCAGATAGAGAGAGGCCATTATTACTTTGGAACAAGAGAGAACGGAGAGGAGGAAAGCAGCGCCGGGAATGCGCTGTCTTCTATTTGCGGCGGCGGCTCACCTGCTTTTGCTCGTGCCGCGCGCGGCGCTGACTTATTCGGCCCTCTAATTGATCGACGGCCAATGCAGCTGCTGCCAAGCCTCGAGTCTTGAGCTTTTGCAACGTAAGTCGCTGTCCTGGCTGCCTCGTCGGCTGTGCGCAGACAGACGACGGCTCCGTACCAGATATTCCACTTGCCCGGAGGTTTTTTGCCGGCAACGTCTGCAAAGGCGCAATTGAGAGGTTCGAGGCGCCGCGGCGGATTTCGCCACTCGTCTACTTTCAGCCGCGGCGACGATGATTTTCAGAGACGCGGTCGTCGGGCCGTGGATGCAGCTCGCTCCGGCCCCTTTTTTCCCGCGCGCGCCGAGAAAGGAGAGCAGGGGGCGAGCCTGGCCAGAAGCGGGGGCGGCGCTGATGAGCTCTCGCGAGTGACAATGACGAGCCGCGATAAATAATGATCAAAGCTGAGCCCCGGCCAAGTTGCCTTTTTTCTTTTTCACGAGCGCACAGCCGCCGCCGCCGTGCGATCGATACGCCCTGGCCGTCCGGCTCCGCAATGCACTCTTCGGATTATTCAGCGGATTATGCAGGCGAACGCGGCCGTTTGCACGCCTGCGACGAAGGAGCTGCTTCCCGGCCCGCTCTGAAAAGGCCAGTCCATCGCGGCGGCGGCGGCTCTTTTGTCCGCGGCATTGTCCGCGCTGCTGCGGCGCTCTCGCATTGTTTCAGCGCGGCCGGTCTGAACGAGCCCGCGGATAAGAGCGCCGGCTGTTTGCGAGTGCTGCCGACGCGCTGTCGTCGTCTCCGCGATCGACCCGACACCTTTTTCTCATTCTCATCGTTCGGCAATCCATCACAGTCGATGAGCGATCGCTGAATCAGCTGCCTCTCAATTGCGACCGACAAATTCAAGGCTTCGCCTCGCTGTTGGCTGCGACTTTTCCATTTTCATTCTTGGCGAAAGCACGGCCACGGAGTCGAAGCGTTTCGTCGAACAAAGCGCGGCGACTACTTAGGTCGACGCCAATCAGAGGGACGTTGGCGGCACGCGAAACGACCAACCAAATTATGCGAAACACCGAAATAATCGATTTTCAAACTCAGCAGAATCAATGCGAATCGGATTGTCGTTCTCCATTTTTTCGAATCACGAACCGTTCCTTGTTCAATTCATACCTGACATCGATCTCCTTCAACAAAGCTTTGATCCAATTGTATCGGATTTTCCGACTCCGGTCTAACAAAAATACACAGAGAAATGAGAAAAAACATTTCAAAACCTCCTGGCTATGACGCCCCCGTACGAGATCGAGCTTCTTGGAGCTTAAACCGGCAACTGAAAAGTCGACAGGAGATAAACGTCTATTTATAAAAAGCGGCCAGCTGCTAGATAAAAGCTTGAATAGCTCGTCGGTTTTTTACGCAAATCTCGAGAGGATAAAATTTAAATGTATTCTTCATAATGGCATTTGAGGTAATTTCATTCTGCTTCGGTTTTGCACTAAAATAAAGCGCGCACAAGTGAAACGAAAATTACGGGCAAGGTGTAGCGACGCCGTACTAAGTAGTTTAAGTGGATTTTCGATATTTTAGGACTTTTTTTTGCTACTTGTGAGAATCGCAGCCGAAAGTGTCGAAAAATGATCGAATGCATTCCAGTAAATTTGTTCGCATAGCGGTGACGTGAAAATTACCGTCAGCTTTTGCTGGATAGGACAGAAATAAGCCAGAGAAAAGTAGGCCGTTAAGCGAGAACGATATATTCGTAAGCATGGCATAAGTTGTCGATAACGCAAATTTTTTTTGTAGTCATCAGCTTCCGTCGCGTGCTATGTGTAAATAAATTTTTGTCTATTGTATCTCCTTCTCGCGGACTGTATTTTATTCGCTAGCTTTTTTGAAAAATCCGGCACGTCATATTTTGGCCATAGGTTTTATTACACGTTGCGAATTGATTTCATCCCAATTAAAAATTATCGATAAGAGATTGCTGTACACTGGCTGGAATTCGTCACGTCCGCGTGCGAAACTGTACGACTCGCTAGATTGATCCACTCGATCTTCAACGCGCCGTTCTTCAACTGTATACGTATATTCGAAATGTACGAAAAGCGCAATATTGTGTTTTTGTCGGTTCGCGGTCGATGCCTCGCAGTTGGGACGAGCACTCGAAATGCGAAATTGCTTGAAACTGCGCTGACGAACGATCGAAAAGCCCTTGCGGGGCTAAATTGTTTTGCCGTGCCTCGCGGCCGGACGTGCACAAGTTGGCAGGGTCGAGTGGGAAAACGGATGGCGAGGTGGCAAGGAGGCGAGCGAGCGAGCTTGCACACGACAGCGCGAGAAAGATCTTTGTTTCCTCGGGCGCGTCTCTTGGAAAGGTGCGGGAGCAGGGCGCTCTCGCGACGCTAGTGTTGTAGTGCTTTTGGAAGGCATTCGGCGGTTCGAAGCTCTCTCGGCTAATTGCAGCGCGAGAAAAAAAGTCGGACAATTGGATTTCGCGTCCCTCCGTATCGGCTGCATCTGCATACGAGCCGCTCGCCCGCTCGAATTCCAACGAGGCTTTTTCTTCGGTTACTCTCGACAGGCGGCCCCGCGAATAAAATACGGCGGGGCTCTGTTTAGATAGGCACCGCCGGCAGCGACTCGCCCGGCCGCAGACAATCGAATCAAACTGCAATTTCCGCGGCGTCGCGCGGCGATGCAATTGGCCCGCAGCAATAGCAGCCCCCTTCCCTTTTCTTTCCGGCCAGACTGTCTTGTCGCCCTCGATGAAAATCCAAGCGACGAACAATTAACAACTGCGTCGCCACGTGCAAATACAGGGAGACCTCGCCCCCCCCCCCACCTCCCCCCGATAATCAACAACTAATTGCACCTTCGCAATCATCCGGCCAGTCCAGTGTGTAATGCTCGGGAGGAAAGCCTCGCGGCGTTCTCTTCGCATTTCATATTGTCATATTGGATAGTCAAGTCCATTAAACTCAAGGTGTCGCTCAGCTTCCACTAGTGCAAATAGCATTTGTCACCACACTGTTTGATCTCGCAGTTCGGTAAAGAAAAGCTGAAATTTCGGTCGACAGTGGAAAAGCCGCTAACTGGCGAATAATACGGTGACGGGGGTCGCGTTGGCAGTCGCGAAACAGGCGGACGATCGAGTCCGAGAAGCCGAGAACGGAGAGAGCCATGAACTAACGCGGCCGCGCAAACTCGACTGGAGCGCGCGAACCAATGATCGACTTGGCCCGGTAGACGTGAAAAGACGACGCGCCGAGGGAAAACAGAGCGAGTTTCTGGGAGTGGCGCGCGCAGCGACGTTAATCTTTATTCCCGCTGGCAGTTCGATATGGCGCTCGTCGTCTCTCAACTGTCGCAAGAACTTTGCATATGCGCAGGTGGACTGGCGCCTCATAAATTGTACGCGACGTGCCCTCGTACTCCCAGACCTGGAGAACGAGGCTGCAGCCCGCTCCTCCGCTGAAAAGCACGAGTCTACCGCGCCGGCGATGACCCGCGGGCCAGCTCACTCGCAACCGATTCTGGCTGGCGCTCCCTTCGCGTCGGATGAGCTGCGCCGCGCAACGGCGAGCAGCTTCGCGGATGTATTCAAGAGACTCACTGTTTTTTTCCCTTTCAGCTGGAGCGACTGCCGATGAGAGCCAAAGGCCCAGCTCTGCGCACAACCGCCAGTCCCTTACGAAAGGTAAGCAGCAGAGGGTCACGGTATTCGGCGATCGACCACGACGACCGATTCCGAGCCAAGCTCGCATGCGCCCATTGCCGCGCGAATGCACGACGCATCGGTAGACCGCGTGGCCTGTTGCATGGTGGACGGGTCGATCGCTCGACTCTTCTGCAGTGACTCCGTGGTCGGTCGGCTCCGTGGGTTGCCGTTGCCTCGACTCCCGGTGGAGTCGGCAAACCCAGCGCTAATTCGTCGACCGTCCCTTCGCGGCTTCCGCGGCAAATCCGCTCGACCGAATGGCCACAGCCGTCAAATTAATTGGCGTGCGGCGAGCGGCACTCGCGGGCGTCGCACCTCGCGAAGATCGAGTAGAGGCGAAGCGACGGTTCGGCTCGCCTGCTCGCTCCGACGTGTTCCTGCATTTCGCTCTCCCCGGACACGTCTACGTCGCTCTGTCCGCTGCCACGTTGCCTCGTTCCAATGTCGTTTTCCCTCGCGTACGCCGCGCAGGCGCTTCAATGGCATTTACGTCTTCTCGCGCGGTGCCTCGGACAGCGACAACTCTTATTAAGCCTCCGAATGAAACAGCGTATCGGCGGTACGCTGCCCGGCAACCACTGTTTCGACTGTATTTGCGTAGTAAGTTGCACGGCATCGTACGCCTTTTCAAGCTCTCTCTCTCTCTCTCTCGTATTTATGTATTTTCTGCAAAGTACACCTGCGTACATTGTCCGAGCGTAAGCAAAGTTTCGGTGCACTGTTTCCACGATGCGCCATCACAGTTGCGCAACTCGACATATTCATCAATTCACGTTCCAAAGTTGTCCGTTCAACGAATGCTTTAGCGATAGTACTGGCGCTCGCAAGCCAAGCGCATCGAGAAAAATTCACTCCGAGCGGTCGAACGAATTCGTACGAGGTGTCATTTGCCTCGCCTAGCGCACACCGATAAATCCGCGTATTCCGCGATATTAAAATCAAACGGATAAATGCTCGAAGCTAGTTAAGATCGGAAAATGTCATCTCGTCGTGCTAAAGACTGGAACGCTCTTTTCAAATTGATTCGGACACGAGAAGTCTCTTATTCGTGATTGGCTGCATATCCGAACAACAGTCCATTAGCAAAGACACTCTCGCGCTAAAAGCTATTGCGTAATTTTTCATTCATACCGTGTCGTGGATATAACGAGAGGCTGCTCGAGCGAGCTAGAGCGTAGTATTTATAAGTCGATTTTTATGCTGGTAAGACGGACGTTGACGCTTGTACCGGCACGGGAAACTCGGCCAGACGTTCGCCGTCAATGAAGCGCCAGTCGACACACTCAGGCACAAGTGTCAAACATGTAATTTTCAACGTTGACGCGTTCGCTTTGTTCACCGCGTCCCACCTTCCAGCAGGTAGATCATCGGAGAAACGTCTACTGTCGTTCCGAGCTTTTCGAATGCAATGGTCGATTCGGCGATAAGTTTCATTCTCATGCTTTTTTTTTTATTTTCATAGAAGAAACGATGCATTGGTTCGCCCGAATTGGATCCGATGAAGATGCAATTCTCGCGTCAGGTAAACTATAAATCGAGTGCTGTGTCCTCTCGTTCAACTTCTAACCATCCGGTTTTTCTCAACTAACATACGATTGTGCGTGTCAAGTACTTGCCGTTTGTTCGTTTTGATATTCTTCAGTGAACAGCTATTCTTCGTTTCGGCCGTCGAAAAATGCTTGAGTTCGAATAAATGTTCGACCGGAAGGGGAACTTTCTCGTTTAGAGGCTATCGGCTGTCGGACGAGCACACTTTTCAACAGCAGACTCTCCCGACCGAAGAGTCACTTGATTTGGCAAGTGCTGATCGTCCGATGACTGGCGCTTCTTATCGAAAAAAATTCATTCGTAACGTTGAAAGGCATGTTGCATGATCATTCATTGTTTTAATCGAGTAGATGTAAAACGACTTTGGGTTTTTTTTGTAACGATCCGGATGGTTTTGCAAGCCTTGCGAATTTGAGTTGACAATGGTAGATACGAATGGAGAAACAAGTAGTTAGAGTATCGTTCGCGAGGCGAATGTTTGGAATTTTGGACCCTCGTTGCAACGCATACACATAGACTCACACACACACACACACACAGAAACATTGTCCAAGAAGGGAATGCGTGTGCGATTGATGAGCATGCAAGAGCCTTTTCGCCAGAGCGTCTCTGAGAGAAAGTATGATTTGTTGTTTGAGCAGATTTGAGGCAGCGCAATAGTCACGATTTCGACGCAGACTCTCTCGACGGCGATCATCCATACGAATATCAAGGTGAACTCATCCACATTCGTTTTCTATAAGACAATGATTTTGCTCCAACCACGCGTCGGCTCTTTTCGTTCTTACGTGCCATACGTTTGCATCGGCGGCTCGCCCGTAACTTGGCCCGCGACTCTCGTCCACGCGCACGGGGAGGCGAAAGAGGCGCTCGCCGAGTGCTCGGGCCAAGCTACGCGCGGAGCCGCGGACCAGCGGGAGGAGCGGGTCGCCGAGTGGTCGCCGAGTGGCCACGAATGACCAAGGCTTGCGGGACGTTCGCAGGTCGCGAGCCGACGGCCGCGCTCGGCGTCGGCCCGGGCGTGGAGCGCAGCAACAGCGCCAAGGAGCTGGACCGGGCGCGACTGGTGCGCGAGCGCCAGCAGGAGGAGCGACAGCGCAAGCTGAAGGAGCTGCGCCAGCAGGCGCTCGCCGCGCAGCGCTTCCGCGAGCAGCGCGAGGAGGAGCGACGCAAGCGCATCGAGGAGCTTCGCCTGCGCGACAATGACAGGTACGTCCTCCGTTCGCGCGGCCTTCGCCTACTCCTTCGTCTCGGTTGTCGCGGCCCTCGCGTACTCGGCTCTTGCTCGGCGACGGATTCGTCGGCGGTTGGTTTTCGGGAAAGTGCAGCTTCTGCAGTGCGAAGTCTTCCTGGAGCGACCCGGAGCGAAAGTTACCGTTCTCTTCGCAGTGCACTGTTTTTCAAAATGCTTTACGGCGCTTCACATCGAGTTCGAAAGTAATCGACCAAGTCTTTTTCTTTCGTAGATGGCGGTTCGCAAATAAACTCATTAATTTTTCCTGCAACCTCGCCGCGGCAGCTTCAACGAGGCTCCGAGCCTCGTAAGATCAATTTTTCCCTCGGCGTTTTCAACTTTTCGGACGAAACGGCAGTTCTGCGCAATTACGCGTTACTAAAAAAAAAACTCGAAAATCCATGTTTTCAACCGTTGACGAATCCATCGATGCGTAATACCTCAAACTCCAACGCTGTGTAATGCCTATTTTTATTCGATTTTTTTTTCACAATGACATACGTTTCGGAAATGAATTGCCGATATTGTTTTAATCTATACTACATTCGACTTTAATTTTACAAGTTATCAATGAAATCCAGATCAAATTACAAGTTCAACAGGTTGTAACTCAACATATAAAACTAACGGTTTTTCGTGTGATTTATCAAAGTAATATGAATCAGTCTAGTATGCAATTACGAAAAAATTCAGATTCACGAATAAACCTGATGAGATAAAGGAAACAGGTCGTTTAAACGTACAAATAGCATCAGAGTTCGGATGCCTTTTCAAAACGGTAACTTGCAGCCTATAACTAGCAACTGCAAACGAAAAGTGGTAGAAGTACATTGCCATCGATGAAAAAATCCATTTACAACAACCAGTTGCTGACAAGTCGCTACAATTAGGTTATCTCTGGTCCAATTTAACTATTTATTTGATTCCATCGATTTCAACTAACATTGTCGATACATCGGATAACAAGCGTATTCGTACAACTAAAGTAAATGAAATGGCTGGCCAAACAATTCATGGCGTTGTATATATAGATATTCGAAACTAATGATCGAATTGTAAGTAAATATTTATAATGTAGGAAATCGATAGAATAATATGAATATTATATCAGTCCGGATGTTCTTCCTATTTACATAACCTAGTATTTTCATATGAAATATCAACGGTAATTGGAGAAATAAACAGATAAACATATAGTTACTTTTAATAAAAACAATAATTAAAAAAATAGATACTTAAAAACAGCTTTTTAATCATTTTTTTTCCGCTCAACTTTAGCCAAACGTTCTTATTCGAGGTATTTATTTCATTATTGTTAATATTTCGTACGAAAACTACTTTGTTCTATGCCGTCTACGCTATTTTCGGTTTGAAAGTGGTAGTCACTTGACTTTTAATTTTAAAGCTTATTTTTGCAAAAAAGTTGCATGAGAAAAGGACCTATATAGCGTTGAAGCTTCAGAGCTTGCGCATCGATTGATTCGTCAACTCTTCAATTAGACCAATTAGCTAAATTCTGGTGACAATCGGAAAGGAAAGAATCGTGGATTTTCAAGTTACTTGATACGTGGATAACTTTGCACAGTTGACATATCGTTAAATAAGATTGAATCGACGAGGAAAAAATTCAGCTTACATAGTTGAAAGCCTTCTTTAAGTTGCTGCGGTAGAATTAAAAGAAGTCAATTAGTTTATTTGTAAAGGGTAATCTCCGTAAGAAAATTGTCCAGTCGATGGTTTGCTCGATTTCTACTAAGTGGCAGCTGTCCAAAGTTGCCCGAAACAGCTTGAAAATTCGAGTTTTTTTCCCTCCGAACGTCACCACAGCTTTGCCGATCGGTCTCGATAAATCGCGAACTAATCCATCGGTGCGCGAGATCTGAAGTCACATTTCCACTTTTTTTTTGCGAAGATACGAGTCAAATGACTATCATTTTCAAACCGACGGTAAAGTGGCACTACGTTAGCATACTCCCCACCAAAATCTTAGATCCCATTCGGTTGTTGATAGTCTCCATGCTGTAGATGGACATTTTTATCGACGGCAAGTCACCTCCGTGAACACGCAGTCTTGTTGGGATATTGGGCCGTTGCGACCTCCCGTGGCGCAAAATATTATTAAACAAGCACGCACTCAACGCGGAAAGCACAGGCCAAAGTGATGCTTTTCTAACAATCGAAAAATCGGGCAAATGAGTAGATGCCAATTAAAACCGCAGATGATTTCTCCAATAAGCGAATACAAGAATTTTGAAAAAGAAAATTGAAACGAGACGTGCCGCTCTAAAGTGCGTCATCCGGCGTCAAGGTTGGCACGCGTCTATTTACAAATGCCTTTCGTTATTACGTGAAAACCTCGCGGTTTCCCCGTGCGGTCCGCGTGAAAGTGCTTGTCTGTTCCTGCTATTTGGCGCCACGTCAGGTCGCAATGATCTAGATATCGGACTAGCGTCACACGGTACGTAGTTAGTACCTCAAATCAGGTTTGTGACGAGAATCGATGAACTGATCACGCGATTGATAGTCGATGGAACGAGTAAGATTTTTATCGTTGCCGTTCGCTAGTTCGCAAACGATTGACGATCGCTCAAAATAAGCAAAATAAGTCTTGGACGCCGGGGAGCTGGCGCCTCGGTCAACGACGTAAGCCTCGAGCTACAGGTTCCAATGATCTTTCGTCGTTACTCAAGGAAACAATCAACCTGGCGGCGACGTTGTCCCGGGTACCATCAGCTCGCGATACGAACCAACGATTGGCTTTACGAATAAATTTTCCAAGAAGCTGCTCCGAGACGTTGGGTGCCGAGGACAGCGCACGCGACTTGGCTTATTCGCTTCGAGCGGCAATCGCGAAGGAAACCAACGAACGGCAACGACGAGAGTCGCTGCTCGGTCCGCGAAACGCGCGACGACGCGGTCGGGCGATCGAGCACCGCGAAGCGCCGACTTCGGACGCAGGCTCCGGGCGCGAGGGCCTCTCGCTGACCGAGCGCGTGACCGACAGGCGAAGCCAGGTGGAGGAGCGCAAGCGGCTGATCTGGGAGGCGGAGCGCGACAGGCGCGAGGCCATCCTGCGCAGGAACCAGGAGCGCGAGGCGCGCATCGAGGCCAAGCGCAAGAACGAGCGCTCGCAGATCGTCTTCGCGTTCGGCAGCTCGACGCCCCGCATGCTCGAGCCGGCGGACACGGGCGGCTTCTGGGGCACCAGGCGCGCCACCTCCACGTCCAACGTCATGTTCAGCAGCCTGCACCAGACGAGCAGCTCGGCCGGCCAGCCGGCCTTGGCGGCCGCCCAGCAACCAGCACCCGGCGCCGCTCACCAGGCGCAGCTCCGAGCGCGAGCTCGACGGCAGCAAGAAGCGCGCCGCCTCGGCCGGCGGCGCCGACCGCAAGCCAGGTCAGTGCCCGACCCCCTCCGCTCCCGTCCCGCACCCTCCGCTCGCTTCGGAGCACTTGGACCGTCCGGCTGTCTGGGCTTTGGTGCACTCGGCTCTCGCGCGCTCGTCCGTTTGTCGCTGGCGCGCGCCTGCAGAGTAGTGGCCGTGGACCAATGGATCGTTTGTTCGCAGCATCGGAAAGCACGTTAATCCGAGATGGCGATGGTGTTGGTGGTGGTGGTGGTGGTGGTGGTGGTGGTGGTGGTGGTGGTGGTGGCGGCGGCACATCGTTGTGTTTCGCGCGCGGGAGCCGCGGCGAAGCTGGTCGAGCGGCGGCGAGGCCGACTCGGCGGGTTTCGTCGGCGGTGGCTTCGGGCGGGGCGCGTCCGGCTCGCGGCGAGCGAGCCCGCGCGAACCGCTCGGAGCAACGGCTGAGCGAGCGGCTGCCTGTGCTTGCAGATATGCGAATGTCCTCGTCGATGTACGAGGTGTTCAATTGGAGTAGCGCGGCCCGAGCCCTCGCTAACCCCTGCGAGCGCTAACAAGAGAGCGAGTCTCTCGTTGCCCCCCCAGCACCGACCGCCTTCTCCATCGACGATCTGTCCTATCGTGCGACGCAGCGCGGTGAGTCTGTCCTCTCTTTCAAGCGCCCTCGCTTCGCTCGTCGACCGCTCTCCAGTAGCCAGTAGCGCACGCCCGCGAGCGCTCGAGCCCGCGACCGGCCGACTTCCTCGGTCCGTCGCTCGCTCGCTCGCCTCTCGCGCTCTCGGGCCGTCTGTCGCTTGCTCTCCGCTTGTTCACCCGCCCAAGCTCCGACCCCGCTGTAGCTGCGTCAACGCCGCACGCGCTTCCAGTGTGCTCTCTCTCTCTCTCTCTCTGTCTGTCTGTCTGTCTGTCTGTCTGTCTGTCTGTCTGTCTATCTGCCTCACTCTCTCTCTCTCTCTTTCTCTCTCTCTCTCTCGCTCGCTCGCTCGCTCGCTCGCTCGCTCTTTGCATCGTAGTTGTTGCCTCGCCCGGCAGCGTCCACTCTCCCCGGCGTCGGAGCCGGGGGGGAGCGCGGCGCCAGTCGGCGGGCGCGGTTGTGACGCCGCGCGTGCATTGTCGCAGGTGAGGAGGGCGCCGAGGCAGCGGCGGGCGTGAGCACGCGCTTCGCGAACCGGCGCCGCACGGACCTGGTGCCGACGCTGCCGTCGCCGCGGGAGGGCCGCGAGCCGCCGGGCGCGGCCGGCAGCGGGCGCAGCTCCAGCCTGGCGGCCAGCAGCAGCAAGGCGTTCGCGCGCAGCCCAGGTAGGACATACTCGATGTCGAGGCTGGACCGGCTGGCCCAGCCGCGCAGGCGCGCCGGCCCGCCGGCCGGCCTGGCGCAGGCGAGCATGAGCCGCAGCATGAGCCAGCTGGCGCGGCCCGCGCCGGCCCCCGGCCTCGGCCGCCCGGACAACTCGCGCAGCATGGGCGCGCTGCCCGGGCCCACGCGGGCCGAGCGCCTGCGCCGCAAGGCCCGCGAGCACGCCAACCCAGGTAAGCCGCCGCGTGTGTCGCCTCCCCCGCGCCGCGCCGTGCCCCGCCCCCCTCCGGCCCGAGCGGCCGCCCTCTCCGCTTCTCTCCTCCTCTGCGCTGCACCTCCGTGGGCGCCCGCGCGCGGCGGACCCCTGCTCCGAACGCCTGTCGCCGACTGGGAGCACACACGTTCTTCGCATGTTTTGTAGAGGCAAAGGCGAGAGCCTCCGTGGGGCTGCCGTGCCGAGCAGGCTCTCGGCTTTGCATCTTTGAAAGCTCGATAACGGCCAGTACCAGGCAGCTTTTTGGAACTCAACGGTGATGGTAACAAGCTATCTCTTCGCTCTCGGTAAGACCTATCATATTTGTTTAGTTGGCTAACACCAGATAACAGCGACAAATCAAAAAAACAAGTGTATTTATTGTGCAATCACGCCATTTTTCTCCAACCTCGCTCATTTTCTCCGTTCTGCTGCTTATTCTTGTCTGCTCTTCGAGCCTCTTCGAGCCTCGTCGAGCGGCTTCCACCGTGTTCACTTTCCCCTTCAAACTTGATTTTTTGTTTTGTTCCAATTAATTTTTTTGTTTTCTTGCTCGTTTTAACAGTCTATTGGCGTCACAGACCTGCTTCGACTGTTAGTGGTGGGCATGACACATTGTTTGAATTAACATTACTAACGACAGCTTACGTACACTTGATTTGTCGTAAGATCGCGTGGCGAGCACACCGAGTAGTTTAACTTATCACTGATGCGTAGTCGAAGACGTCCAGAGAGCACTCTAACGAAGCACCTCTAGAGCGGTTGGTAAAAAGTTTAGCGTTTGGTTGACCGGCAACGCTCGAATTTGGGCTGCTGCGTGCACGTTGGGGGTGAAAGGCCCACTCGATAGCGTCACGCAAAGAGCACAGGGTGCCGAGTTTCGAAGCAAGCTCTCGTCGACGCGCGGAGAAGCTTGAAGCGCGGAACGCTGCGGGCTTCGGCCGTTCGCCAGCCGTTCCGGCTTGAAGCTCGCGCGAGCAGCGAGGTAGAATGGGAAGGACGGACGGCGGCTGAAATAAGTAGGCAAGAAGTGGGCAAAATGTTGGACGGTGTCGGTAGGTCTGCGCAGCGGCGAGGTGACGCCCAACAGCCCGTCGCGGCCGCACAGCTCCATGAGTCAGCAGAGCGCCAGCTCGAGCGTGGCCAGCAGCACCGTGAACCTGCGCCCCAGGACCGGCACGCCCCGACGACCCAGGCCAGCCTCCATCGCCGGCACCGGCGTCACCACCTCTCAACACAGTGAGCACTCTCATTCTCTCTCACCCGCCTCGACCATCGACCGAGCACCAGCCGACCACCCGCGCCAGCCGCCCGCTCGCCCGCCTGCCAGCCGCCGGATGCGACCCCTCCCCTCCCATGCGCATTGCACACATAAATACATCGTCGCAGCCCAGCGCGGGCCGGCAGCGAGGCGACGCTAACGCGAGCTCCGGCCTTTCGCAGACGAGGCCGCCAAGCAGCAGAAGGACGCCAAGCCGCCGCTGCCCAAGGCGCACGCCGGCGGGACCGGCGGGACCGGCGGGGCCGGCACGCCGCGCAAGCCCGCGCCGCCGGCGGCCAAGCCGGAGCGCCGCAGCGCGCCCGCGCCGCCCAGGAGCGCCAAGGCCTCGCCGCGCGCCACGCCCAGGCCCAGCCCGCTGCAGAGCCCCGGCGCCGAGCCGCCCGGCCCGCCGGACGAGGGCCCGGCGCCCGAGGAGCCGCCCCGGCCGGAGGAGGACCTCGGCGACGAGCAGCAGGCCGACATGACAGGTGGGGGGGGTGACGCCGAGCGCCGGCCCCGGGCGCCGCCTCACCGACGACCCGCTTCTGTTCGCAGCCTCGATGATCCAGAAGATCCGCATCACCACGGAGGAGGAGGCCAAGGCCGCGCTGGCCGAGCGCCGCCGCCTGGCGCGCGAGCAGGCCGAGCGCGAGGCCGAGCTCGAGAAGCAGCGACGGGTGGGTGCCGCGAGCGGCGGCGGCGCGCGGCCCCGCAGCCGCTGACCGCTGCTCGCCTGCCGCTTGTTGCAGGAGCAGGAGGCGACGCTGGAGGCCGAGCGCCTGCGCGCCGAGGAGGAGGCGCAGCGCCGGCTCGAGGAGGAGACCATCCGCCTGGCGGAGGAGGCTCGGCTGGCCGAGGAGCAGCGGCTGCGCCAGGCCATCGAGGAGGCCGAGAGGCGCCAGGAGGAGGAGCGCAAGCGCCGCGAGGACGAGCTCCGGCAGAAGCTCGAGAAGGAGGAGGCCGAGAGGTCGGTGTCGTCGCGCCCGCGGCTCGCCTCCGACGGCCTCACGAGCGCTCGCTCTTTTCAGGCAACGACTCGAGATGGTCGAGCGCCAGAAGAAGAAGGAGGAGGAGGAGAGGAACGCCAGGCGCAAGCGCGTCGAGGCCATCATGTCCAGGACCCGGGCGAAGAACCAGCCGAACGCTCAGAAGGTAAGCCGCTCGGCCGATCGCGGGCCTGCAGCGACGCCTAACCGCCGATGCTCGGCAGGGCGACGGCACCGACGGCGACAAGTCCAAGGAGGACAGCCCGAGCGAGGAGAGCAAGTCGGCCCCGGGCGACGACAAGTCCGCGCAGAGCCTGATGACCAGCAGCCTGCTGTCGGAGGCGACGCTGCAGCTCATCAGAAGCGAGCAGTGTGCCCACGAGGCGAGCGGCGAGGGGGACGTCGTGCGCAACGGCACCAGCCACCCGAGCAACGGAGTCGGCGAGCCCGCCGGCAAGCATCAGCAGCAGCAGCAGCAGCAGCAGCAGCAGCAGCCGTCGTCGTCGCCACAGCCGCAGCCGCCGCAGCCACCGCAGCCGTCGCTCGTCGACAACGAAGAGCTCAACGGACACCGCAACAACGGCTCCAGCCACGGCAACGGTATCGGCATCGACACGCAGAGCATCGCTCTCGACAACGCCACCGTGTAAGTACGCGATGGACTCGCGGCCGAGACTGCCCGTCGTTGTTTGCGCTCGGAGTGCGACTGGCTCGACTGAATCCTCGCCGGGAGATAGCGACGAGAACAGGCCGCCGACCATGCTGTCGGTGTCGCAAGCGCCGTGCTCGTCGCGCTGCTCGTCCTCTTTCGCGCTCGTCGCTACTACTTGTACTTTCGTCGATTTTTAATATTATCACGTGTTATTGTTGAGCAAAGTTTTATATGCGCAATCGTGGACTTAAGTCCAACTTGATTTTTTAGTTTTTCTGGTTTTCACGACCAAATGGCCGTCGGTTTATTGCTCTTTCAATTTCATTCTTTCAAATTCATTAATTAATTTTTTCGTAGCCATTAACATTGAGTCTGGTCTGTACGTGGAAGGAATATTAAAGTATCGAGCTTCTTTGATTATTACCAAATACTAAAATGAAACGATAAGCATTATTGAACTTCTAGTGCGGTTATCAATGACGAATACATACATTAAAGTATTAATAATTTATGATGCCATGATATGTCCGTTGTGCAAAGTAAACTTTAAGTGTCTGCGTGTGTCTCACGTTTGCGCGTTATATGCTACCAAAGCATACTATTATTATTATTATTATTATTATTATTATTATTATTAAAGAAATTAATGCAAATCAAACGGCGCTCCTATTAACTTTATTTATAAACAGTTGGTTACTACTGTAAACTGCAGTGGCTTGATAAATAATTATAATCTTCTTGTTACTTGCAAATTAGCATCGTTTGCAGAAATATGAAATCAGTCAGAAGCATGAAAGTTGTGAAGGCAGCACTTTCTTGGGATGTCTCGAAATCAAATAAGATAGAAAGGAACACGATTGCAAACATTTCATGAAATAACGAATAATATAAGAAACTGTCTGCTATTCATAAAATTTAACTTTGTAACAGAATCTGATAAATTTCACGATAGCGGAGGGGATACTCGCGAGTATAATTACACTACGCTCATTGTACATTGCAAAAGTAGCCAGAAGAGTTGACTATTCTATGATGATCACCTCTCGCCAATAACATATTTTTGTGATTAACTGCCGCTGAACGAATAGACATGATATTACATGTGAAAATTATGCTACCCACAAATTTGTATATTGTAACTGTACATTATCATCATCATGTATATTTTAATTCTACCAAGAGAAATATGTGTGTTTACTTTCTCCAGTCTAAGATATTTATTAGCCTGTTAATTTTATTAATAACAATTCAAGAATGACGCTTTATTATACGCATAATCATTATAAATTCATTCGATACATTTTCCAAGCGTATATGCTTGCGTTATTTGTATCAAATTGATGCCAGTAAATTCATACATAGTACATTTTTATACAAACTATCTAGCGATTTCTTTCAAACTACATTAGAACCTGTTTTTGATAAGAACAAGTTATGCATTCTTCAAATGTGAAACGAAAAGAAAAACGTTACAAAAATGGTCTCTCGAGTGATTTTTGAGTAATTCATTGCACACAAGTCAATATTAAAAGCGAGGCTATCTAATCTGATGACATTTATAAGCAAAAAAGAACATTGTCATAATTTCAGAATTAATGTTTTGCTGCGATATAACTTAAATTATACAGTGTATATAATGTAAAGTGATCAAAGAATAGGATAAATGCATTCAGTCATCTCAAAACTTGTTCATGATTTGCTAATATACAATAATGAGGGCTTATTAGAGACATTCTTATCGCATTTTTCTTTCCTTTGTTCATAACAGATTAGAATGAAAATCAAAGTATTCAAAGTCTTTTGTAAGCTCGTGTTTGATTAATATTTGATCAAATAAGAGTTTATTAAATTCGATTTAAATTTCATTTTGAAAATCAAAGTATTGAAAGTCTTTAACAAGCTCTTATTTCATTTTCTTCCTTGAAGCCCTTTGAGGTATTTTCTGTTTTTTTTTTTTTTTCTTTTTTAATTTTATGTAGCGATTTCTATAACATTTTATTATCATTTGAATACAAAATTGATTCTAGCCACAGCATATAAATTACAGTCAATTTTAAGAAAAGAAGTCTGACCAATGATCATGTAATACAGAAATTTTTATTCCGTTAACTTATCTATTAAGTGCTTGTGAACTATATATTAACCTGTGCATGTTTCTCATTATACTGTGTAGTATAAATTTATGTAGTGTTTACATATATGTTTTGAACACGATATGTGTATGCGAAATATGCAAATACTTCAACTAAAATCTATAGTCTAAAAACTATTCTTACTATATACGTATTAATATTATTGATTGTGTTACTCAGAATTTGTATTACTATTCACTATTTACACTGTGCAAAAGCTCATAGATCACACCTTTACGACCACTAGTAAACTCATTATTTCACATTGCTTGTTTTTTCATATACGTTGATTGATAAAATTTGGATGTTACGTGTGACAATTCACATTTGTGCGTCAACTTACTGCCTACTTTTGCTGTGTATTAAAGATTTTATGGTTCACCAATGCTCTACTGGTAAACTTATAATGACTTTTGTCTACCTTTTGTTTTGAAAATTCACATAGTCACAAGTATGCGTTGATGCGAACCAATTATTATTTCATTACAACAGTAATGTATGTAGCAGTTTTTGTATGAACCAATCGCAAATTCTGGCTTTGTTAGCGTTTATTTGTACAAGTTATAACAGTGCTCAGGAGACTGTGTTATAATATAGATTAGTATATTTTTTTTATTTACCCACGCCAATTAGACTATTTCAAATTTAGGATTGAAGTTTTATCGTGGGCATCTATATTGAATTTTGCCAACTTTTATTTTAACGTTTTCATAGTCAGAGTTAATATTTTGTTATAATCTTGTGCGACCTTACGGCTTGCTGCTTCAGACTGATAGTTGATCTTCTAATTAAAAAAATACAGTAGTCTTGAAAATAATTCTGCAAAAGAAGTGAACCAAGTTTTTGTAGTGTCCTTGCCATCCTATCAAAGTGGTTTAAAATATTTTGTGTGATTTCTATATCTTTGGTAAAAAAAAATGTTCATATAACCAAACTTTCTGTCAGTCTTATCAAATATCTGTTTAACTTTTTTTTTAACTTTTTGATATGAGAAATTGAGAAAACTTTAGTTTCAGTCAACCATTTCAAACATTTGGTTCGTTTTGTTATTAGTACGTTCTTTTTAATAGAAAGGAAAACAATTGATTTTTTTTTGCTATTTTATTTTGTCTTCTTGCATGAATTAATATTTGGTCAAGTCGAGAAATATACCTATATATTTTTGTTATTAATGTTTCGATCATAGAAGGCGTGGATGTACAATTCGGAACAATAGCATTAATGCTCTAAATTATATAGATATCGAATGTCTTAAGTCGAATTTCGCGATGACTCCTACTATGAATACTTGGAATCCGAATGCTTTTTCAATTTTGTCAAAATGTATATTCCATGTATATAAATGATTCATGACAATGCGTAATTCTTGTAGAATTTGTCGGCAAAAGTATGTGCTTTTAATATAGTTTTAGAGTCAACTGCATAATTATGAATTATTTGATAAAGTTTAGATCTGTTTTGTTGTAAAATTGGGTTATATCAATTACTTTTTTGTTGAATTGATCTTTATAGCAAGCAAAATAACGTCACAAACAACTTGCTCGATCTGTCGGAATTTGACTTGCTGAGCAATAGCAACAGTAGTCCGATATTGATGTCCAACAATAATGAAGACAATGTGAATTCGAATCTGAATCCTACGGCAATACCCTTCACGCCGAATTTCGTCATGCCAGCAGCGACCAATGCCAATCCTTTTCAGGATCCCTTTGTCAGTAATAAACAGCAGGACAATCAAGTGCAAGGTGAGTTTTGTTCTTTCTAAATGGCTATAAACAAAACTTGATAAAACCGAATTTATCCCCTAGAGCTTTTCGAAAATCATTGTGTGTCATGCTTTTCTTTACAGATCTTCTGTCTTAAGAGAGCCGTCAAATCGTATGGATGACTACGATAGATAGATAAGAGAAAGAAAACAACCACGAAACTGATGCAAGTCTGACGTTGAGCGACGTAGACGTCATCGTGGCTTTTGATTCTTCTTAGAGAAAAGTGCAGTGTAAATAAAAAGAGGAGAACGAGATTAATCTGCCGATGAACATAGCTAAACAGGCGATTCAAAGAGCTTTTCGTTATATGTTAAACGCATGGCAGGTTTATCAAGTGTAAAATAATATATAATGTTAATTAATAAGTAATAATGGTAAATAATAATGATTAATATTATTATTAACGATGGTTAAAATACAATACAGGCACACGCGAGCGGTCAACTCTGAAGATCCGACCCGCCTCTTAGTTTGTACAATCTAATATCTTGATTACTGAAACTAACTCCTTAATGGATCTTTACTGTCTTTTTTCCAAGAGATAATTACTGCAAAACTATCGCGCCTAATTGACAACGAGCTCAGTGTGAACATTCGTGTTATTGCACAGATGTGTCAATTAAGCTATAGCACTTCTCAATGGGAATGCAAGATATATGTGTTGCGCGTGTTATTTATTTATTTTTTCTTTTTTCCTCTTTCAATGTGCAATCGAGATTCAAAGCTTGACCTGCTGTGCATTGACGCTAACTCATTTTCTTTGGTCAGTCATGATCAAATGTCAATTTCGACGATGTCTTGAATAGGCTAAGCATTTTTTTCCAAATGGCTTTGTAATATTTTAATTGCGTCTTTTTTTAATGGAAAAATTGTAAAATTTGTTTTCATACTTTACGTCCATAGTGTATTTTTATATTTGTTCGTGATTGTAAACCACCAGTAATGGACTGTGCAGAACTGACAATTTGCGTCATCCCAAGTCTCGAAGCTTGCAATTTAAATGTTTAGCCTAATAAAAAATATTTATACTCTACAGATACAATTGTAAAACTTAATACGTTAGCTTTTTCTTCTTTCATCAAGCAATTTTCATGTTTATTTTTTGTTTACTTTTTTTTGTTTTGAGGCGTGCGCTCACTAGTCAAGCGATTTTAATGTTTTTATTACACTTCGTTCAGAGACTACGATGAGAGATTGTGAGTGAATGAATGTATGATGGTAATGTCTTGAAAAATTATGATTAATAAATCTCAAGAAAGGAATTATATATATCAAAGAAAAATAAGTAATTATAAGATGGATAAGATTGGAATTCAAAGGAATGAAATTATTATTGATACATAAAATTAAATAAAAATTTGTCACATTAGTCTGCCAATATTTCGTCTCTGTTCACTATGCGTTATGTATTTTAACTAAATTTAGTAAAACTTATATTTGTCGGCGGAGCAATGAAATTTTGATGTTATAAATTCACCTTATAGCTCATATAAAGGCGACTGTTATCGGGTAAAGGGTAACCGTTATCGCTTGATTGCTGCGAACGTATATTTTCCAAAAGAGTTGATGCAACAAAAATCACTTGGCCATTGTGGCCTGTGCGTACAGTCTTACGAGTAATTATGTCATAAGGTGCAGCTGAGGCAGCTAATTCAAAGAAACAAAGCACTTACGCATATATTGTTTACGCGAGAAACTAAGCGAAGTGAGATTAACAATTGTTAAAACAAGTCAATGAACTGCATCGCAAGTCTAGCTCAATACCCTAGATTTTTTGAATATAATTAAAAACTGTAATTTATAAATATTTAGTTGATTGAGCTAATACGTTTAAAAATCCACGGTAACTTAATTATTAAGGCTACACAAGTGTACATGTATTAAATATATGTTTTTATCGTAGACAGTGTAAAATAAAGTTTAAAAACAAATGAAAGGAAGCATTTGAAAGAAGGGCTGATTGATATATATCGACGTTATATGCATATATTTGTTATATAGCATTACACACGAATGGGAAAAAACTGGTTATCAATTGAATCGATGAAATTTTAATAGTCGAGAATAGGAAGGCATTAAGCAGAAATAATTAGTTTATTCTGTGTTTTGTAATTAAATTTTCTACTGAATAAATAGATGAATATGAGATTTTTCAAGAAAACGATTGCAATCGAGAAAAATGGACAAAGTATAGAGTTGGAGCGGCAAAATGTTTGCGCGAAATTCAGTGAGCGGCGTGATGGGATGAAGGCAATAAATCGCGCCTTTCTGTCGAAATGATAACTTTTGAAGGTGAAACGTCGAGTGGGCGAGTTAGGCGTGTTTACTTTGTTCATGATTCGGTGCGAGCGGGCTAACGAACCGTATACAGCACGGCACAAATGGAAAAATGCGTACAAAAAGTATGCAGCGCAGCGTAAAAAAGGTTTGGGGGCGTAACGAAGAGAAAGAGTGACTGGGCGATAAGGGTTTTTCGATATTTTTGAGGGGTCGACGAAAGTAAATACACAGAGGTCTGTATGCTTAGGTGCAATTATCTAGCTAGCCCCTCGTCGCTGATTGCGAATTTATATATTTGCGCGATGTTATTGTCTGCGTTGAAAACTCAATCAGTCTCTTTTGTTCGACTGCGATTCGGTCGAGCGGGAGCAATAATCGCTTCTTTCCTCGGATTGGCAACGAGAGCGCGCAAGGCATGTGTTGCATTTTGAAGGATGCGTGGAGCGAAAGAGCGATGCATACGTGAGATGAGTCTTTTGATGGTCACCAGACAAGCCTAAACACTTGGTAATGTAAAAAAAGCCTTGTACGTAATAAATGACTAAAACTACTGGAGTTGTTTTCTCTGAATTGGGCACGAAGCAGATGCACGGCGGCCACGACAGGCCGAGGGAGCGGCGCAGCATCGCGGAAATTGATGCTCCGCACGGGCGTCAGCAATAAAGCACGCTCGAAAGCTCGAGCACAACGAGAGCTGGCTGGCGTCGCGGCTGGACAAGTAAGGGAGCGCGAATGACAAATCGGGCTTTCGCGTCCCCTTGAATGCAAATCCGCGCGCAATCAGCCGACGGCGCGCGCCGGCGTACTCGAGGTCCTCGCGGCCGAGGGAATCTATTAGCCTCGGCCGCTAATACCCGACAGCTTTATTCAAATCGGCCCGCCCCTCGGCGCGCGTACATATTCCAGCGCTTCTCTCGCGCCGGCACACCTATACGTACGCGCCGTACGTGCGCGCGCCGCTAATTCTCGACCGAAGGCAACCTCCCCTCGCTCCGGTCGCGCGCATTGTTGTACGTGACTCCCGCGCGACTCCCGCGCGACTCCTGCTGCCGGCCCGGCCTAATGGACTCGCTGCTGTCATTGTTTGTAGCAGCCCAGTTATTGCGTGCATCGCCGACTGCATATGTCATACGCGCCGCCAGCGCAAATTGCGTTCGAGGCCTAATGCATCTATCGCATTTATCGGCCTTCCGACCCTTTCGACTTTCGCCCCCGGAACAATCGAGACGCGAGGCGCTTCATTTACAGCCCGTTTCTCGCTAATGCACCGGACAACGCTTTGCAACGCCAGATACGATATACCGATTAGTTTGTCATTCAGTCCGTTGCGCACTGCGAACATTCCATTGACTCTTCTCCAAGAACTCGGAGTCAAACTCCCGAACATTTCTTGCATTTTTAAGATCACTAATGAGCAACTAACTTTGTTTTCACTTCGTATTCTCGAACGATCATTAATAAGCTATATTGAACGCTATGAAAAACTGGCCGGCTTCGAACATTTCTGTGTTTTTCCACGCTTTGATCGACAATCGATCAATAGAAATGGTCATTCTTTCATTCCAATATTTGTTTGAAAAAGTCGATTATGTCGTGTCGCGTCCCAAAACATTTTAAATATTAACAATCTCTCCAGATTTTCATGCTTTGTATGCCCCAAATATATGACTACTGAAGCTCCGTAGTGAAAGCGTTCATTTCACTTTACTGTTGTAGTAAAACAACCCTGTTGGATATATTCGAATGAAAAGCAAGGAAACTGAATTAAGCTCCCCCTCGACGTGTACATAGATATACAAAATACGCTTAAAAAAAGGCGACCCCTTGCTCCATGATTATTTTTTGATGAAGCCAAATTGAGATTTCACAGATTCATGAGAAGTACCTTTTGACACGTTATTTGCACTAAAGCAACTTGAGATAATTTTCTGCTGGCCTTTTATTTGAAAAAAAGTCACGATATAAAATTCAGATTGTCAAATAAATAACAACATTAACTTTGCTTTCATTTACATCTATGGTGGTTGGACTTATTATTCAAGTTTTAATTTTTTCTCCGAGAAAACGCAGCTGCGCAAAAGAATAAATCTTTTAACATGTATTTTATGACGAGGGACCTTGTAGTTGTTTAGCAATTTCTTTTGACTACATCAATAACAGTTGGATGGTGGTAATTTTTTTTCAAACTCAAACCTGCTCCCCCGACGAATCATCGTGGCGCTAAAGGATCGCCCATACATATGTATATCTAATGTACATCTTATAAAGATAGGGGGACCTTAATTTTCAATGGAATATATAAATAAAGTTAACCTAAAATGAATAAACATGATACAGTATGAAAAATTATCATTTTAATATTGCAAATTTTCAACAATTCATGAATCAACTTTCAACTAAAAGTATTTATTAGATTATTATTACAAACTTTGATCTATCGAATACAAATAATGATTAACGATAGTAATAATTTATTTTAAATGTTTGAAATGTATACATGTTTTTAAAAGTATTTATTAAACTTTAAAACATGAAAACGCTTTGTAATTGATCCTCATTCACTTTCAAAGGTATCACTTTCAAGACAAGGAACACTGAACGTTGTCAAATATCCAAGAAACTATGAATGGAAAAATAGAGTTCGAATAATTTTTCACGGTGACTCAAGACAATAAGTAAATTTCTTTTTATTTTTAGCGCATAAAAAATGTTAGCTTGTACATCAGGAAAGATGTTTTTGTGCGGAGTTCAATCTATATACAGGTCGTACAAATTCAACGCAACGCAAAATCATTGCTCCTCAAAGTACATGCGATCAGTTAATTCTAAAAATGTCATATAGATTCACTGATTTCAAAAAGAATATTTTGATGAGCACCAAACTTCCTAGATCCGAAATTTATCGAGAAGAACGCGAATTTCATTGTTTCATCGCAATATTTTTCGACTCTAATTGAAAATGCTTCACTCTTACATTTTGGTTATATTGTTTTTCATTTTTAATCCAACTCTTCAAATTTATCATTAAACACATATATATATTATATAATTCAGATTTGTACACGTTTCCTAAATTTACTAACTTATATTTAAAAATAAGTAACATTAAAAATCATTCTCGACATAATTTATTCTCATTTGTTAAAAAGCTTAATGAAGTTGTCTTGATTAAATTGGAATATCGTTATGGTTCGTTATATCAAAACGATATATTAACATTTTCTACATGGCTAAATTGAGTACGTTAAAATTTAAAGAATACATGGTGGAAATTATAATTTGTTTTAAACGACGTTATAACTGAATTAAAACCTCTTCAACCAATTTTTTGAAAAACATCTAACGAAAATGTTTACTTTGAAATATACTTTGCAATTTGTTTTTTGAATTTAAACAGTGGATGCGTTTATAGGTTTAGTTCAATATTTTTGAAGGCCTCCGACCCCTATGTACAATACAAAATATATATGTTGAAAATAGCTAGGCGACTCGCATTGCTCCATATTAAAAATCTAATTTCAATGTGTAGCTTACGTTAAAGCCGTTCTAAATGAGTTTGTGCAGCTGTTTTATCATAAAATAGCGAAGTTACATAATAACTTCAACTGTCATCGAAGTAAATAAAATAAATGCGGGAGCGTATTATTGTTAATTGATATTGATTTTGTAACCCAAATATTATATCGTAACTGTCATGATATTTTTTCTGATAAATTGGTTACTCGGAATAATGTAGAACAGCATTAGTGCAAAGTACACATCAACAGGTTTTGGTTATAAATTTGTCGAATCCCAATTTTGCTCCATCAGAGAGTAATCGTAAAGCAATTAGTGGCATGTTTTTAGAGCGTACTTGTACATCTGTATACAGGGCGGAGGCATCTTGAATTATAATTTTTTCGACATTCCGTGCGTAAAGTAGATACGTCTTTTCCACACGCTCGGCAAAAAGTGTACGATAAAAATCACGCACTTTACACACGTTAAACGAAAAACACGATAAATTCGGTACGATGCATGTTTGGAGAAATAATGTACTATTACAATTCAATTTTCAAATATATGCGTGACCAGTTTCTGTACGCGATTATTTTCTTCGTGGTCAATTTAACCATATCGGAAATTTATTCAACTATGTTATTCTGTATGAGAGCGTAGAGATTGCTTTCTAAATTGAATATTATTATCATCATATTACTTTGATCTTTGAAATATGGGCTAACATAAAAAATTTTTAAATTTATAAATTCAGTTTTTGTGTTCTTGCGATAAAATAGTAACTTAATGTTTCTTTCATGTTGCGTCACTATCAACAGTTAGTGATAAGTTTGAACGGTTTGAATAATAATTCAAACTCGCTTTCCCTGTTTGAAACTTATGAATTATACTATTTGTGGAACTATCATTTTCTCCGGTTTTCTTTTTCGCTACTTGACCGTTTAGCGTACTTCACTTATTCATTGGGCCATATGAACAATATAAATAGTGTTTCATGAAAGTTATAAAAAATTAAAATATTCAATAATCATAATGCTCAATTATAAATTTATAAAATATTCAATTTTTTATATTTACTAAAATTCTCATGCATAATTGCAATACATTTTCTTATTCATAATAACATTATTTATAATATAAAAGAATATTTCAAAACTTCCAACATATCTAAAAATGAAACTATTTTCATTAGTATTTATCAAAATCTTTTACATAATCCATAAGATCTTCATAGTCAAACAAACGAAAAACTAGCTGCTCTAATAAAAACAAATCATGTCTGGCGTCGTGAGGAAACTTGGTAGGCAAAGGTAAATAATCTATGGTTAAAGTCTTTAATTTAAATATTCCTTTGCAAATTCTTTGATTCAATTCTTTTCAAAATAAAGATAATATAACGATTTAGCTATATTTAGCGATTACCACAAATTCAGCGATTACGTGCTAAACTATTCTTCCAAACCACAATTTTTGATTAATCTTCAAAGTCGTGATGCATCAAAGTGGCAGTTATGCGCAACCAAAGCGCAAGGGCCATTCAGACCTTATAAAAAGTCTAGCATTTTGTCAAGCGCCTTATAAGGGATATTGAGTTTGCTTCTTTTCCATGAAAGTAGAGTTTTTTCATTGTTACTGAAACCATTAATATCCGTTATATATTTGGGGATCGATCGCGATGAGTTAACATACATATCAGATTTTCTTCTACCACACTTCAAACCAATCTACAAGATATCATATCTCTTGTCTATAGGTCTAAAGTCTCTAAATCAATATTTAAATCTTGATATTTAAATTTGTTTCTGTAGATTACTTCATATTAGTGATTCTGAACCATTGTTTTAAATTTCCTCCAAAAGAATAATTCATGAAAATCTGATTTTATCCTTATACTAGTGTCGTTAAGTGCGTTTCTTTGGTTTATTTCGCGGGCTCATCTCTTGGTATTCAGGAATATTCAGATTCATGTTTGAGTTGAATCTAAATTATTATAGACAAAATGACAAAGTTCTAAAATACACTACAAACATAAAATAGTTGTATGCTTCGATACGCTTATCATATGTTA